TAAGAAAACATAGTAATTTTCTATAATGAATATTTTTTTTTTCAGAACTGTTAGTTCGTTATAGAAAAAGTTGATTATAGTTAATTAAAAATATCTTTTGTATTCAAAATTATGGCTATCAAAAGTCTTTAATCAGTTGTTATTTTAGTTATGATAATACCAATACCATAGATTTTTGCTTTTGTGTAAATTGTTCTTCACCTAACAAAACTCCAAAGCAACGTAAGACATGGAATCATAAATAACACCTTTTAAATAGTTTTTTTAGACAATTTTAGATTAGAATATTAAAAGTAATTTGATATTACCACTATGAAAATCAGCAATGAAAACCCACAATCATTAATCTGCCTGATATTAAAACCATACTATAATAGCTTCATATCTCAAAAGAAAAGAAAAAGTTAGTTAGCTAAAAATAAAAAAACAAGACAAAGAATTCATGAATTACCTATCTGGCCTAATTAATATAATGATATTTACTTGAAGCTTACTCTATGGTGATTCTGAATATGAAATCACCAACTACAACAACAGTACCAATAATGGCTCTAATGATGGCTTCAATAATAGTTTTATAATAGCTCTGACAATAGCTTCACAATAGCTCTAACAACTTCACAATAGCTTCAATGATGACAGTTTCAACAATAGCCTAAAAAAAAAAAAAAAATAATTATTGTTTATATATGATTGTTGATCTCAATAATGATTGGCTAATCATATGATTCTGTGTAATTTTAAAATTTTTAATTTATTAAAAAAAGATAGCACTATAATAATATTTTTATAAAATATTTAATAATTGTGCATTTATTAGAAAAAATTAAAATATATTAATTGATGATCTGTGAGTCATGTGAAGAATGATCTTAGTGTAATGTAACAGAGATCACATATAAAAATTACTATAGGTAGAAATGCAGCGTGTGGCTAAGGAAAACTTTTTCTTACTAAGTTAATCGCTCTTCTCTATTAAACGAAAGTTGTAGAGCTCATTAAGACACATCTAACGACAGTTAGATTATCCAAATCGGCCCAGTGGATACTGAGATATCTTTGAAAAACGTTTCGCCGACTATATAAAATTCTATGTAAACAATAGTATTATTTATATAGAATTTTATATAGTCAGTGAAACGTTTTTCGAAGTTATCTCAGCATTTACTGGGCCGGTTTGGATGATCTAACCGTTGTTAGATGCATCTTAACGAGCTCTACAACTTTCGTTTAATAGAGAAAGGCGATTAACTTAGTAAGAAAAAGGTTTTCCTTAGCCGCATGCTGCATTTTCACCTATAGTAATTTTTATATGTAATCTCTGTCACATTATACTAAGATCATTCTTCACATGACTCGTGGATTATCAATTAAAATATTTTCAGTATTAAATATCCAATAAGGAAAATTAAATATTAATTCATGTTAATTTAAAAAATTTTAATATATTCAAACATCTTAAATAATTAAATATTTTTGAAATCTATAATTATTAATTAAGATATTAAATTATTTGACAAAATCTTATACTCATAAATGCTATTTGTCTTGTTATTTGTTTTATAATATAATCATGTTTATTCAAATTGAAAATTAGTCATAATACTCTACAAATAATGGCTATAAATAAAAGGATAACACCAATATTAGGCAGATTTTAAATAAATAATTGGTATACTTGTTGAAATAATATGTATTTATTTGCTTGGTATATCATATTATTATTATTTGACAAATTTTATCAAATATTGTAACAATATATGCCAATATTTAACAAAATTAAAACACAAACTTTATAAAAAAATTATATAAAAATTTGTCTATATCATAGAAAAATATTATATGCAAACAAAGCTTTAGTGTTATTAGCCAATTTTTAAAAGGTAATTTATAATAAAGATCATTCTTTTTTTATTAATTTTATAGTATTTAAATTATTTAAAGAATGTAAATTTTTTCAAATATATTTAAATAAATATTGATTATTACTATCAAAAGAAAATTTAAGAGTTATAATTATAGATTTATAAAATATTTTATTAAAATTAAAAAAAAACAAAAATAAAATAAACAAATAATAAAAAAATTATTCAAAATATATTTTAGAATTCTTGAGATTCTTGAACTTCAGAATCTTGAGTATGACTTGTTAAAGTTTTTTTCTGAGGACTTTGAATTAGAGCATAACTTGTTGAAGCATCTTCCCCAGTATTTAAAGGCAGGGCATGACTTGTTGAAGATTCTGCATAAGATTCATCTTTAACAATTACTGATTCTTCAGAAGCTACTGAAGGTATATGGGTTGTTGTACCTCTATCACCTCTAACACCTTTACTACTAGGTCTACCTCTTTTAGATGCCTAAAGAATATTATAATTAATAGTAAAATTTTATATAATTACACAATTATAATTTAGCTTTATAAATATATTTACTCTTTTGAAGATTTGCAGTTTTTTTTGTTTTCCACACCTTTTATCTTCAATATCACTTTCTTCTGAACTTGTTTCATAATCACTTCGAGATAAACAAAACATCTCATTATTTTTTATTTTTTTTTATTTTATATAATTAAATTCATTAAATTATTTTAAATAATAATTAGTATTACGATAATAAATAAAATATTTTACAATATATACAAATATTCAAAAATTATTTAAGTATTAAATTAGTTTTTAAATAATTAAAAATATTATAAAATTTAAAATACAATTTGTATCTTTACTTACTACATTTTTATTAAGTCTATTATTTGCAATATCTTCAAATATTGTAAATTTTTTATAATAACTGCTTAACATTATTTCATATATAGTTATAGCATATACTAATTTAACGTAAAAAGGTAATTTATTAGGCCAAACTTTTTAAGAATTTGTATCATGTAAGTCTGATTAGGATCTGTGTCTGATATCAAACTAATAGATACAAAAAGTTTATAATAACAAGACTTTGTCTTGTTAGATGATTTCTAGGCTGAAACTATTGCTAGAGCTAAATTAGTATTTATAGAATCTAATTGGCTTTTACCAAATACTGAGAATATTGTATCCTTAATATGTGTGATGAGTGTACTTCTTAGTACACGAAATGTTCTAATAAGCTAAAATATAAAATATTAGTTTAGAAAAGTTAAAATATATTTAAATAATTTTAGTTATTATTTTTATATAAAAATTGATTCTAAAAATTTCGAATATATTCGAACTTTTTAGAATTATTATATTATCAAAAAATAAATAAAATTTACTAATCTATAAATATGTTGCTTATAATATATTTGTTATTTTTTATCTGTCATACTATTAAAAAATTATTATGATTTTCTTCTAAATAACTCTCTGCTGCAATTATAAAATCTTCTTCGAAAAGATAAATAAAATACTTAATTAAATTTTTGGTGATAGCTTTTATAGTTTGCTATTAATAAAAATTATTATTATTATTTTATTATTATTAATTAATTATTAATATAAATATACAAAAAAAATTATATTGATAAATTGTGTTTCATGGGTTATGTCGAAACTTTCCAAAATACATTTGTCCATATTATTTATTTTTCGTTCAATTCAATTTATTTTGTCAAATAGTTTTCTTTTAACACGATTTAGATTGTTATTTAATTTTTTTGTTTGATTTATTATTATAGTTAAAGCACTTTCTACAATAGTTAAATTTTTTTAAAAAATTTATAAATTTCAAATTTAGATAATGAAAATTTTAGATTCTAAGTTACCTTTGGGTTGATTTGATGTACTTGAATAGGAGAAGTTGGTTGTATAGTAGTTGACACAAAAGTATTTCTTACATATTCTCTACTTTGTCTAGAACCAGCAAAAATTTTGGTGAAAATTTGAGAATACTTTGCTTGTTTTTTTGCATATTTTGGCATTTTAAAATGCGAATTTAACAATAAATTGACAAAAAAATATGAATAAAAAAAAAAAAGTAGATAGTGGGTAAAAAAAGTGAATAGTCAAAATAAAAGAAACTAAAATATAGATAGAATAGAGAAAGATAAAATGAACTTAACAAAGAGTTGGTGAATAAATATGAATATGTAAAAAATTAAAAAAATAAATAAGTATTCAAGGTAAAATAAGAGTAACAAGAAAAAATAGTAAAAATAATAATAAATGCTAAAATATTGATAGAAAAGTGAAAGATAAAAAGTGAATTTAATAAAAGATATAGGTAGAAAAAAAAGGTATGTAACAAAAGAAAGAAAAGTATTATAAAGCAACTTGTAAAAGCTATTTGATAAATTAAAAATTTAGAAACTTTTTGAAAGAAAATATCATCAATTTATAAGTTTTTAAAATTTTTAAACTTTCTATCATAAGTTTCAATATAATCAAATTTTTAAACTTTTAATCATAAATATAATATAATCAAATTTTTATTCACATATTTTATTAAATTACATTATTCTAAATATTATTAAATTACATTATTCTAAATATTATTAAATCACATTATTCTAAATATTTTAATAAATTCAAAAGTATTCAAATTAACTAAAATCAATATAATATATTTATCTTATATATTTAGCCTTAAATAATAAATATATACAATAATAGAAAATTTATTTCATTAAAATTGATTAAATCTGTATATCTTGAAAACTAATATCTACTTATAGAAAATTTTAATATATGCATATAATACATCAATGTTTGTTTGTTAAATGTATTTCTGAATTTTAATTTAAATTTTAATATAATCTATTTTCATAAATAAATAGAACTCATAAACTTATAATAATATAATAATAGATAGAAATTTAAAGATTCTTATGAAGCGAATAAAAGAATATTTTATAATTAATACATTTTATACTTTTGTTTTTTTATTTTATTTAAAAATCTTAAATAAATTATATTTTATTAAATTATAGAATAATTATAACTTGCGCCAGTGGTTATAATTAACTATTATAATAGATAGTTAATTATAATCACTAATTTTAAAAAATATAACAATAATTAAAATTAACCATCTAATTTCGTTGCCACGTGATGTCGATCACGTTTTTCTATGGAGCTACAAGAATTTTCATTTTCGTTATCGCTATGACTTTCGATGAACACGAGGTGCATATTAGCATTATTGGAATATGGCTATGTAAAGTTTT